GTGCCTTTGAAGGCTATAATCACATACATTGAAGAAAATATACTTTCTTAAAGAAAGACGAGACTCAGTCACTGGGGAGTTTTGCTTCTTCCTGTTGCTTCACCAACCTGCATGGCTTTTTTGTTTCTGTGATTACTGCTTCCTGGGCATGCTCTGCTTTAAGAATGTTGGCCACAATGGAAGCCAGAACCTCACTGTCTTGCTGCCTCCTGTGGCCATGGAGAGGAGCTTCTTCAACTCTTCAGGTGCCAGAACTCACAGTCTCTCCCACCGCTTTCAGTATCGCTTAGTTTAGGAGGAATCCCTGCCTCTCTCCCTTTTTCTTGTTTTTCTTTCTCTCCCTCCCTTCTTGTGTGTCTGCCTCTCTCCCTTTCGCCTCTTTTTCTTCTTTCATATTTCTTCTTTGCCACACTGGTAGTTGAACCCAGGACCTTGTCCTCTGCCACTGAGTCACACCCCCAGTTCCTAAAAGTCACCTTTTCTCTTATAATGTAGTTTGAACATCATTAAATTTAGACTCCTGGAAAGAAATCGGGTTGTGTTTGCAGTCACAATACGAAAGTAAGACATACAGAGCCTATTAACTGCTTATGTTGGGGCTTGAAAGAAAAGAGAAATACTTGGAAAAATGATTTATGAATTTAAACCTACTTTGACTCATTGTTATGGAGAACTGTGCAGACGACTTCCAACTCGCTCTCTTCTCTCTAGTCATTGGCTTGCTATCTTCTGAGGCCAACTGACTGCTGGTTTCAGTCAATTAGTCCCTCCTAAGAAGAGTGATATTCTTTATGGCATAAGACAGATCTCCCAGCATCATAAATGTTGTCTCAAAACTTTTTATTATCCCCTAGAGAGATTCCACTGGAAACAAGTGGCTTCCCCTTCCCAGTAGAGTAGAGTACAGGCCTTCTCAAGAGGACAGTGTCATCTCCAATCAGGTAAAGCCTGGTTATTGGAGGCAAAAGAATTTAGCTCATTCTTCATAAAGGAGAGATATATACAAGCAATAAACAGAAGCACAGAGCATCCTGGTTCTAACTGGTATGGAGCAATAATGAAATGTTTAAAGTGCCATTTATGAGAAATCTTAATAATGTTGAGAAACACTTGTCCAGGTGTGACGAGAGGAAGAAGCGGGTTAGACACAGTGCTGACTAGTGTCTTTTATTCTCTTGTCTAATCCTCACAGTACTTGTGCATAGACAGGGAACCTGACCTTAAATAACCTGAGAGAACCACACTGTTTGTAGGTGACATAGCTGGGCTTTGAGGCCAGGTCTGTCTCCATTAAACCGGGCTTCAGAGTCAAAATCAGGCCACACATGTGAGTCACAACCCATGCCCTCATGCACACACATGCACACAGACACACTCAGGTAGTCACGCTTATCTTTATGATTCTTGGATTAATGTGGTTCAATGTGGGCCTAACAAGTACTCTCTCACCGAGTTACAACCCCAGTCCTAGAGCTCTCCAACAGCAGACACACAAGAACCACATCTCTGTTCTTGTGATCACTACTTCCTGCTGTATTTTGTCTCTTAGCTTGCATTTGTTTGCAAGGGAGCCTTTGTTAGAGCAAAGGACACGTGGTGTTCTCTGCATCTCTGCTCTCCTTCTCTGGGCTACACCGTTGTGATAGCCATTCCTCAGCTCCCCACATTCTGGATTTTGCCAACACTGTCACTGCCTAGGTGGGAGGACTGTCTTTGTGCTAGAGAGCTCTCTGGCACAGCCCTGAGAGGAGCTCTGGTGCAGAAGGCAGCTGACTGTGCCTTGGAAGTTCCAGTTGCTCTCACGGTCTCTGACTGACAAAGGCAGATTGAGTAGCAAGTCAATGTCCAATTCATTTTGTCAGGAGTTGCACTCAGCACCCCCAGCCAGTGTCTCCAGGAGGGTGCCGTTTCTTGTCACTGGTAATTGTGCTGATGAGACAGAGGCCAACAGAGGAACTCAGCAAGAGTTTGATTTTCCTAATAGCATCTGTATTTAGAATTGTATTTAACTTGTTATTTTGATGAACCTCTCTGCATTGAAGGAAAATAAAAATGAATAAAAAGGATGGAGTAGCAAGAAGCAGGACATGGTGAGGAGACCTCAGAATGCCCTCAGGAGCAGCTCACTTCCTTCCCAAGGCTCCTATCTTCTCATCCATTAAAGCAGGAAATTTGAACAACGGAAATTTTCTTCCTGCATGAACAAGCCATCAGCATGCGAAAGGTCAGGGAAGTCTGTGTGTTTTGGGAGCATAGTTCCTTCCTGGTCTTTTCCAGAAACCATGCTTCAATTTACCTCCGGATTCCTGGGGAGGGACATTACAAATGGCTGTCCTGATGCCTGTCTAAGGGTGAAGCAATGACTAGAGCCATATACTTCTGGAAACTTTTATGTTATAAAATATGCCTTCTACTTAAGGAAGTTCTGTCATGCACCCACCCTTCTGTGCATGGAGAACTTGGGCAGTGTTGCTATCTGCATTTTCATAAACATGCTCTTTGTGTAGAGCACCATCGGCCATTCGATTCTCGATCCCCATCTCTCCTGGGATCCTCAGCTTTGGATCTGGATTTGGGTCAGGATCATATTTCAGCTCCTTCTGGAAAGGGAGCTGAGCATTAGCCAGTCTTCCTCTTTGTCCTCATAACCAACTTTAAAAGAAAATCCCTTAATGAGAGCGCAGCAAGAAAGCATGAGGAAACATTGCAGTCACAGAATTGTGTGTGTGTGCGCGTGTGTGTGTGCATACGTGTGTGTGAGAGAGTGCGTGTGTGCGTGTGCATGTGTGTATGCGTGCAGTGTGTATGTGCGTGTGTGTGCGTGTGTGTGTGTGTGTGTGTGTGTGTGTGTGTGTGTGTGTGTGTGGAGAGAGCAAGAGAGAGAGAAATCTTATTGAGTCCATTTAGAATTCAGTTGTGCTTCTGTGTGTTTGGTTTTAAGGTTGGTCATCTGGGGTTGGATAAGATATCAAGGAGGTTCATTCCCAGAGAAAACTGATTCTTTTTCTCTCAACAACCATTAATTGCATGGAGTTTTTCATTTATAAGCCTTGTAATAGTTCCCACATCCGTACTGACATGTTACTGGTGTCGTAATTATACAGGTCACAGCTTCACTGTTATATACAGAAATCACTAGCTCACATCAGGGTCCTGGGGCTCTGGCTCTCAGAATATTTTTACCCCTCCTTTGTGCTGTTCTCTGAGCCTTAGGTATAGGGTAGGCAATCTTTAAGGTGTGCCAGGCCATTGGCTCACTACTTTTTTCTATTGTTTAATGCAATATTTATAGCCATTCTTGATGTAGAAGCAATCTTTACTCCAACTTCACAAATGGAAAACTCATCTTGAAGAAGTTAAGGCAATAGCTTGAGGTCATTAAACAACAGACCAAGATGCTTAAGCTGGTCTGCCCGAGTCTAGGAATTATGTTGGCACCCTCTTCTGGGTCCTGTAGCTGCCCATGTGGCCTTTATCTCCTTACCCTGGAAAACTTTGGAGCAGCTGGTGAGTTGAGACATAGGGGAACCAAAATGTGGGCATTCTTTCACTTCTTAGTATCTCTGTTATACTCCTGCATCTTGCATTGTAATGCATGAGACATTTCCTGAAAACCTTCCAAGAGCTCAATTCTGTCTTGCTGGGGATGAGACCAGTTCTTTCTTTCAGTGAAACAGGAACACCCTCCTGTTAGTGATTGCTCCCACCCTTGGCTTCATTTCCTTTACTGTCCTACATCCAGATACAGCGATAGGCACTTGCTGAGTGTCTATTACCCTCAAGGCAGTTTTCATCACTAAGAATACAAAACAATCAACAGACAAAAACCCTGCATTTTCTCACTTTCTAGCCCAACACAGTTGTCGTCCTCTTATGATTCTTGAGCTAAATTAAATATTTGAAAGGGTAAAGTTCATCACATTATCACTCTCTTTATGAATTCTTAAACTTCACCTGCTTACAAATTCAATGTCTGATAGTCTCCATTAAGGTCAAAGGGAAGGGACTGGATAATAGTGAGCCGCTGTCCTGCTACTAGAGTGCTTAACCCCCTGTCACAATTGCACAAGGAGGTTAAAGAGTATTGTTCCCATTTCAAATTGATCACCTAGAAATCAAGCCACAGAACAGGAAAGAGACAGGGGTATTTGGTAAGGATACAGGGAGAGTGTGGTGTGTCAGGTGGGGCACCTTCTCTTTCTATCTGAGGAGAGGAGAGTCCAGACCTCTAATGTCTTTAGGAAAGGGAAACAAAGGGCAGCAAACAGAGGACACATGTATATGGAGAAGCCATACTGGATCTGCTGTTTTGCATGATAACCTAAAAGTCAATATTTATTTGTTTATTATATATGTCTCTGTGAGTGCATTCATGCCATAGTAGGCATGTGAAGTTCAGAGGACAACTTTCAATCATCTGTCCTCACCTTTCACTGTGTGGGTTCCTGAGATCAAACTCAGGTCATCACGTTTTGGAGCAAGTATTTTTGCCTGTTGAATCATCTCACAGGCCCCTAAAAATGAATAAAAATCAACATTAGGAAATAGCCATCATGTCCCCGTCCAGCAGATTGGAAGGAGTAGTGTCTACATTACAACCCGTTTGTTCACCCCTGTGTTAGACTCTTCATCTGGAAGCTGCTTAAAGGGGACTGAACAGAACCCTGTCCACACAACTCACAGTCCAAAATTCTACTTCAGCAATTTTACTCCTTCTTTGGTAAATGTTTCCTTTCTTTAAATACTTCATTGACTGAAAGGTGGAACTGTGCAGATGAGATGGTTGGGTTGGGGTTGGGAGAAGGAGATGGCGAGGCTGCAGAGGGAAGTCTTCCCTACGCACTCCGCCAGGGCTGCGCTCAGGCTGCCCACTCTTGCCCACCCCAGGCTGTATGGGTGAGGAGGAAGTGAGCTCCAGAAGCTTTGCAGACATCCAGCTGGGGTTGGTTTCTGCTCTAGTGTCTGAAAATCTCAGTCCACATAAGAACCTAAGCGTCCACACAGAGCAAGTATCAAAGCACACTGCTGTCCCAAACTTTCTCTTGTGTGAACAAAGGTTTAAAGTTTTAAACAAATAGAGGATTTGTATATCCTAGCAAATTTTTTCTTCACACATTCTTTTAAAATTTCCTTGAAAGCACTTCATCAATAATTGGAGAGAATTGACAATCCCAAGCTTTCCAAAGCTTTACTAGCAGAGTCGTCTTGTGTGTTTGGTAGATTTGCTGCTCTCAGGTCTTACCTGTGCTTGTGAATGAGTAGCTCAGGCTCCTTGGTTATTTTGAAGAAATGTTAGACATGCTTAGGTGAGTGATGAGTTAGATGACAGTCTGACCCACTGTTCACATGATCCTGGAGGAAAGCAAGGGATGATAACAACGGTGAGTCACTCCGAGACTTCAGGTTCGCAGATCCAGTCTAAAGGGCTATATAAAGCGGACTTTAAGGGAACTTGCAGCACGGGAGCAGAGTGAAGAGAGCTGTGCTGGACGGAGCTGGCCACAATGAAGCTGCTCGCCCTCTTCGTGCTCCTGCAGGTGTCTGCCTCTGCGGCCGCTCCCGGCAATGAACGAGAATTTGCTGAAGTAAGTACTAACAAGATTGCACTGGGCAAATCTTTCCTGATTTTGCAAGTTTTGCAATATTTACAAGTTTTGTTTTGAAAAGTATGATTTGATTTGAAAAGCAGCAGAGATAGCTGTTTTTTAAGCATTGTTTTTGTTTTTCCACAGAGGAATATCAAAATGAATGATTGTTTTGAAAGAATATTATTAAATCTGTGAATAATTGTGCTGTCTACAAAAAGCTTTGGGTAAATAATTTTAGCCCAATATAATAGGACCACATTTCTGATAGAGTGTTGTGTTTCCTCTCCTACCCCATTTTGTCTTTCATTTGTAATTTAATGTCCATTAATGATGTGGGATTTGGACATGGCTTAATCTATACAGCCACTTTAAATTCTCATAATAGTTACAGCAAGCTCCCTCTATGCTCACTTATCTCACATATTTATTCATAAGTGTTTTAAAATAAGATTTGAAAAATCTTACATTTTATAGTTAAGAAAATTGAGCTCTTATTTTCTAAAATTGCATACATTCCTTTTTGAGACAGGGTCTGCTGTGTTGTCCAGTCTGGCCTTGAACTCCTGGCCTCGGGTGCCCTTCTGTATTGGCTCAGCAGTTGGCTCTATTTTCTAACATTATTTTTACTTTGAATTTTCCAAGTCTTCCACTGTGTCAAGATGTTCCCCCATACCAGAGACAAACCCAAACCTTCAAGCATGCTAGGCAAGTGCTTTGCCACTAAGCTACATCTCCCAGCTAAGTAAACTTTCAATGCCAACCAAAATGGTTTAAGTACCCTAACAACAAAGATTTTGCCACTTACAATGTACCCTTATACACTAGATGTCAAAATGGCTTCTAAAACCCAAGACACAAGTCTGAAGAAGCAGAAAAATAAATAGCTTTTCCACTGAGCTCTTGGGAGTCAGACTAATTATTTGTGACATGCTTAAATATCTTAGGAAGTTAAATTTCTTTCTTATAATTGATTGTTTACATAATAATAATGTAGGTTGTAACTAAAATATGTGGTTCAGGAGCACCAGCGTACTGCTGACCATGTTTGCATGGCCCCAACAGAAACTGGGCTGTGTACAGTGTACAGTGTAACTGGGTTCATTACTTGTGTTTTGTTCAGAGGTACTTGACAAAATATTATGATTTTGAGGAGGACAGAATTTCAATGACAAAATCAAAAGTCAAGAGGAACGTCCTAGAAGAAAAACTCCAGGAAATGCAGCAGTTCTTTGGGCTCGAAGCAACGGGGCAGCTGGACAACCCTACTCTGAAAGTAATGCACACCCCTCGCTGTGGCGTGTCTGATGTGCAGCACCGTGGCGCAGCGTCATTGAGGTCAATATGGAGGAAGCATCACCTCACCTACAGGTAATGCCAGCATCTGACCCAGTGAATTTTTCTTTCCCATGCGTGTGGCTTTGAGAAACCTGAAACATTTAGCTATAGCAAAGTTTTAAGACTAAGGGTAGCCTCTGTGTGCTGTTAACACAAAGGCATTCATTGTTTCCAGGCCGGCGTGATGACTGGGGGAGACAGTGCTTGTCATACAACCGTGAGGATCAGAGTTCAGATCCCTAGAAACTACAGAAAAGCCGTTACAGGCACAGGAGACGGGGATCGGGGAGGCCCAGAGCAGGCTAGACTATTTGAATCAGGGTCTCTGGTTTTGGTTGAGAGACTCTACCTCAACAAGTAAAGTAGAGTGTGATTGAGGAAGACACCTGAGTCAGCTTCTGACCTCTGCGTGCACTTACACACTACACTCACACTTACACACATATGAACATGTATATGAACACAGGCACCCCCCCCCCCCCACATAACTCATTATCTCTATAAGGAGAGCTGTTCTCTAAAAGAAGACTTGCAGTCATTCGCTAGACAACCAGTCCAGAGCAGAGCAGACAAGCTGCAAACAAAGAGAATGAATCTGAATAGAATACAACTAAGACAGGTGAAGTATGTAGAATATTAAAGATGGATAAATATGGAATTTGGGCACAAGGGGTATTTGTGTTTATGAAACTAAATCCTTCACGATAATTACCAGTAATTTATCTGGTAAACTAAAATATATTTGGATTGATAAAATAGTTTTCTGAAGAAAAAATGGTTTGAACTTCAAAAGAGTATTTTTTACATGGACTGTCAGTATGTGAAGACATTCTTCCTTCAGGTGTGGGTGCAGAACGCAGAGACTAGAAAAGACAAAAATGACCAGTGGTGTCATGCTTGTTTTTCTATCTTTCTCTAACACAGAATCCTTAATTACACTCCTGACATGAAACGTGAGGAAGTTGACTATGTATTTCAGAAAGCTTTTCAAGTCTGGAGTGATGTGAGTCTTCTGAGATTCAGGAAGATTTATGAAGGCGAGGCTGACATCATGATCCTTTTTGCATTTGGAGGTACGCAACCTATGTTGTGGCAGCATCATTCACTACACCATGTGTTGCCACCAAGTGCATCTCTCATGCCTTTTGACAGATGTAGCTAACTATTGACTTTCTTTCGTTTTAAAAAGTTCATGGAGACCCCAATGCTTTTGATGGAAAAGGTGGTGTACTAGCCCATGCTTTTTACCCTGGACCTGGCATTCAAGGAGATGCACATTTTGATGAGGCAGAAACCTGGAGTAAAAGTTCTTCTCAAGGTAGGAGAAAAAAAGGAAAACTAATCATAACTAGATTTACAATAGGTCCTGATCTTGAAAGAATGCATTCTTACAAATTTTTATAGCCTTAAATAATTATTGTAGTCTTAAATAATACAGTCTGATTGCTCATCTCTAAATCACATTTAAGACTTAATACATTTAGCCCAATTTTTCCTCATTGCAAATCAGAGTTACTGTGTTTGATTATGTTAGAGATCAACTATATGAACCACTGGGATCATATGAGCAAGTTCCATAGTATTAACTCTTGGAAAGACAAAAGCTTCTGGTTGGGCTTTGACCAGTAAAATCTATAAACTTAAGGGCAAACAATTCTGTGATTGATTATATACTAATAATTTCTTAGATTCATGATGACCTGGAAAGATATTTATAGAAAATTTATAGATTCTGATGGAGAAGTACAGGCTCATATGTAGTCTTGGAGCCTTGCATTCATCATGTGATACCATTTTCAGAATGTTCAATTAATCAGTTGGGACTGTAATTCACTATTCCATTCAGATAATGGGAAATGAGGTTAACTTATTATTATTATTATTGTTATTATTATTAGCAATTCATAGTATAAGAAAATTTAAGTCATCATCTCAATAGCTTTTCTAATATCTTTTGGAAATTCTCAATTTCCAAAATTGTGGAAAACATAGGGAAAAATTCAAGAATATAGTCACTCTGCCCTGAATACCTTCTCTCATTGATTTTTCATGTGATGTATAGCTATATTTTCATATATACCATTTCTACCTGGAAGATAGACACATAGCCTTCAGATTTGACTCTGATACACATCCGAAAACTTATCAAGTTTTTGATAAGGGTATTTTGAAGACTGCAGAGGTACATCATGCATGGTTCAGTACTTGTTGGACTATAAATTCTAAACCAGACGGGTTCCATATGCCTGAGTTTTTTCTGGGGTCATATAGGGGCTATTTGTAAACTATTCATCAAGTGAGAACGTTTTGGAATCCCAATGGACCCTAGAAATGTGAGTTGCTCTTGTCTAAAGAGACCAAGCAAAAGCAAGTTTGTGCAAGAACAGGGACAAAAACATGTACTATTGGCTCCTGGCCTTATTCTTAAAATTGATTTGAGTCTATAATCTTAAAAAGTGTTTTTGAAAATTCTATCTATGTGGCTCAGGCTGGCCTTAAACTCAGAGTCCTCCGTCATCACCTTTCTGAGTTGGATATAGACACGGAGTACTAAATCCAGTATTGACATATTGTTTTGAACCAGTATTGAAGAGTTTGATCAGTGCTTGTTGGTTTCTGTTACAGTGTTGAGTAATATTTTTGATTAAGAAACAAAAAGGACATACAACCTAACAGAAGCACCAGACAGACAGAAAGTCCTGTTTGAAGATCAAGACTAATGGAGCTAATTGTACAAAACATTATGATCTTGAATTCCTAGGCTTAGCCAATCCCGCTGTCTCAGCCTCCTGAGTGGTTAGAACAACAGACACAAGCTTTAATTAAAATTTAGAAGCAATGTGAGCTACCAAATACACCTATGATTTGTGTTATGAAGATTCATGCCAGAATATGTTCCATTTGTCTGGCAATAAAATGATCCATACCTGTAGACAATTTTGGCTCCAAAGGGACATTTTCAGACATTTTTAGTTGAACGCAGAAGTGGGGATTCAAACTTCCACAGAGTGGTAAACTATCTGTGGCAGAGAATTGCTCTGACAATACTTACCTAGCCTATAATGTCATCATTGAGACTGAGAAAGCCTATTTGAAAATGCAGGGAAATCAGTAAAGGATTCCTAAATGTCCCCTCTACTGTGTTAGATGTATTGTTTCCTTTCAAATGACAAGGCAATGGGCTGGAGAAACAGCTCTATTCCCAGGACCCAGGTCAGACAGCTCACAGCGGCCTGTGACAGTAACCCCAGGCAGATACCAATGTCTGCCCTCTGTAGCTGCCTGCACTCACGTGACACAGCATATTCACAAGGGGATAACTTCCAGCCACTTAAGGCTGGACTCCTCTCACGGGGGTGGAACCGGGCCATGTGTAAAAGATCAGGCAAAGGAAGATGCCCCATTATCTCATTCATCTTGAGACATGAGAAAAGTTAATCTCATAAATGTCGAGAGGAGAATTGTGGGTACCTGATGAAGAGTAAGGGGAGTTGGGTAGGTAATGGTTGATGCACCGGTAATAAGTCACAGTCAGGAGCATGGAGTGCTAGTTTTGGAACTGCGGTGCAGCAATACAATGGTAGACAATAGTAATGTTCCATTTACTTCAAAAGGCTGGAAGAAAGGATTTTGAGTATTTTTACCACAAATACATGGTACATACCCTATCTTGAACTTTATACAATAAGTGTAGGCATCAAAACATCACATGGCACCTTATAAACATGTACAGTTTCTTGTGTGAGTTAAATAGAAAGTGATAAAGTCCACAGCTTTCTTCTCACCTTCTTGCTTCTTAGGTACAAATCTGTTCCTTGTTGCTGTTCATGAGCTTGGCCATTCTTTGGGGCTGCATCATTCCAACAATCCAAACTCAGTCATGTACCCCAGCTATGGTTTCCTTAACACCAAGACATTCCGCCTCTCTGATGACGACATAAGTAGCATTCAGTCCCTCTATGGTAAGCTGAACCTCATAGTTTTATCAATAATCTCTCATATCTATATTTGGAAATTTTGCTCTTTTGTTGCACACCCTGTGAGATAAGCTACACAGACACTGTCTTCATTTCCCCTCACATCTGGACCGTTTTCAGAGCAGTGCCACCCCGGCTCTGACGGAAGTAAATTCAATTATTCTCTTCTGTGATGCTGTAACTAAGAGGGATAAAGTCCTCGGGGCACACTTCTCATGAAGTTTATAGGAAACATGACTGCTTTGTATTTTCCTTTAAGGAACAGAATATTTAAAAAGAATAGCTATTCCTGCTACAGAATTCCCAGAGTTGAACATCAAAATGTCTTTTTAGGAGCCCCAGTAAGAAGCCCACCTACGGCGAATCCGGAGCGTCCCCTGCAGACTATCTGCCGGCAACGCCTGACCTTTGATGCTGTCACCACAGTGGGAGATAAAATCCTCTTCTTTAAAGACTGGTATGGTTATTTTCATACCTAATCAATGCTATAGGCTGTGGGGTTAAATTTGGTAGTTTTGTTTTTGTTTGTTTGTTGTCAGAAGGTATTTGGAAGAATGTAGATCAAATTTGTGTGGCAGGAACTTGGACTGATTCTCAAGTTTTGGAGCGATCTTAGATTTTTGAAGTAGAGAATTGTGTGATACTGTTTGTGTGACTAGGAAGCTAATGTATGAAAAAATTAAATTTGTAGTAGGATCTGGATGGAGAATTAAAAGACAGGAAGTGGAGAAGCCCAGGTTAGAAAGGATGTGGTATCAGGTACTGGGGAGATGGCAAAGTACAAGATGTTCAAACAAGAGGACCTAAGATCAATCCCCACCCCCACATAGACACATTCAGGGGCAGCTGCATGGACTGTGAAATCCCAGTGTGCAGCAGAGGAAAGCAGACTCACTGGGGCTTGTGGAGTCTCAAGCAGTCTAACTGAACCCAAAATCTCCAGGATTAATGAAAACATATGTCTCAAAAGATAAGGGGGAATGGGTGAGGAAGACACCTCAAGTGCACACATATACACAAACATATCCATATACACAAACATGTACACATATATCCATATACCAACAAATGCACACACACATAAACACATACATACATACACACATATATACATCACAAAAATATGCACATACATATACACACAACACACATATACATATATGTACATACATACAAATATACACACATGCCTACATACACATACATATGTCCACACTACACACATATACATACACACACACACACACACATATATATATATATATAAACACACATGTACACATTCACACATATATCCACACATACACAGGAATTAAGACCCTAAAAACCTCCTATGTAGACCTCTTTTTGTACATGGAGAACTCCAGAATGGCTCCCAGTTTTCGTGTTGGAGCAGAGATGGAGACAGAGGCTGGGTTGGGGGAGGCCAGTGGGGAGGCTGTGTGGGAGGGAGGACGGATGCTCCTGAGATTGTAAAACAGCAGCTTCTTCCATTACCAAACCAGCGACCCAGTCAGGAGACTACACTAGGATCTTAGATCCTTGGAGTCTAGACTCTGGGTTTTTGTTGTTGTTGTTGTTGTTTCCTGTTTAACCAGTGTCACTACCAGAATTCACTAAGTCTCTCTTTCAGGGTGTTCTCACACAGACACTCATGGAATAAAGTGTGAGAATCAATACCGAATCATCTCACAAGTTCCCATTTGTGTTTTGAAGGAGTCTATAGCAATTTTCACATATATTAAATGCATTTCATGTCAGGTTCTTCTGGTGGACATTACCTGGGAGTCGCGCCTCCAATATCACTTCAATTTCTTCCATGTGGCCAACTGTCCCGTCTGGTATCCAAGCTGCTTATGAAATAGAAAGCAGAAATCAACTATTTCTTTTTAAAGGTAACGCCAATGCTTGGTTCTGCCACTGAGAACATGGTAGAAAAAGGTACCTCTTTTTATAATTAGATACTAAAAACAGACTCTAGACTTTGGTAATCATGTCTCTAAATGATAAGTCAACAGTTTATATAAAATCTCAACTATACAAGAAATATACGCAGCCTTTTGGATAGATGTATGAAATATAAGATAATGGCACTTAAAAGTATCTAAACCATAGAGCCATAGGAGGTAAAAAAAAATTACTGAGAACAAAAACAGGGTGGGTTGACATTACTCAGTGACAGAGAACCTGCTTACCATGGATAGAGTCTCAGATTCGTCCCCATCCCCCCCACCCCCGCCCCAGCCAGCACAAAAATTAAAATGAATATTAGAACACTGCACAAGAGAGATGCTTTACAGTAAGTCAGTGTTTCTAAGGTTTAGTTTTCGGTGCAATTCTGTTGTGCCCTTTGTCTTTGTCTTCGTAGATGACAAGTACTGGTTAATAAACAACTTAGTACCAAAGCCAAGCTATCCCAGAAGCATATACACTCTGGGATTCCCCAAGTCAGTGAAGAGGATAGATGCAGCCACCTTTGACCCATCTCGCCAGAAGGTTTTCTTCTTTGTGGATAAGCAGTATTGGAGGTGAGTCACAATGGCATCTTCTCTATGGAAGCCTCAAATGCCTTTGTCTTTCTTGGGAGAAAGATCAGAGAATATGGGTATAAAATAGTCACTGCCCACCTGGTTCTTTTCTCCGGGTTTCTGATATAATTTAATTTTGGAGTGTGTCTGGGCTCCAGGACTCCTTCCCATAACTGGTGGACCCAGAAGACAAAATGAGGAAGCGGCCCTTTGAGTGGCAGGGTGCCAGCAGGAGGCCGGATGCACTTCACCGCTAGTCTGGTTTCTCACTCCCCTAACACTGAAGAAGGGGGATCATCCTGCCCTCTGCTAAGGAAAACAGTCAGGAGCCACATCGTTTGCATGTTTGACACAAGACATAACAGAATATACTAAGAGAGTAAAACCTCTAGGTTTTCTTGAATATTTAAAATTCAACATCTAATTTCAACTGAATGCCGTACATTTGTGACAAAAATTGGTCTGCCAACTTTAGCCTTGTTTGAAAAATAGGACTTATAATTTCATCAAATCAAACTTTCTGGAGAGGTGACAAATAGGACTAATTTGTTGTAATTCGACATTCTTAAAAATTTGTCTGACTACTGGCTCCCTTTTACACTTCCAACTGACCAAAGTATTTCCTTTTCCTAAATACCAGAGGGCCGGGTCGAGCCAGTAATGGTTGGAGAGCTAAACTGAGTGAAAAATAAGACAGAAGCAAGTTGAGACGTCACATGGAAGTCTAGAGAAAATTGACTCTTTCTTTTCTGTCAGGAGAAGAGACTTTATGGAAATCTAGGGCCTTGCTCTCCAGTGTGGATGTGATGGGTTTTACTGTTTGTTTTTCTTTAACATGGATGTTCAAAACCCATTGATTCCATGGCCCTTAAGACCCCTTCTTTTCACCATGGGAGAAAATAATTGATATGTGTCTTGCTAGAAAGAATTTGCAAAAAAATGGGGACAGGCAACTAAGAGGGCTGTCACATTTCAAGCCCTTGTCAATGCCGGATGGCATGGGAAAGGACTGAGGAGCCGGGAGGGAGAGCTCTGACTAGAGTCATGGTCCAAGTTTTGAGTCCTGTGATAACCTAGGGAAAATCAGCCAATGTTAGGTCTTTGCAGTTTTCATCAGTACATTTAGAACACTTTCAGGAAAGATGAGCGTGTGCTTCATGTTATAATGTTCATCTCCTCACTGTGGTCCTTCCTCAGGTATGATGTGACGCAACAGGCCATGGACCCGACTTATCCCAGACTCATTTCCACACACTTCTCAGGAGTTGGTCCTAAAGTTAATGCAGTCTTCTATTTCAAAAGTAAGTAGACTGGGAAAATATTGGAAATCACATCTTAAAGTATGAAAATGCAGCCTGGGATCCAGCATGGGTACAGGGTGCTCCAGCCTGTGGTGTGAATATGTTCAGCTTCAGCCTGAGCAAACTCGCCTGTCAGCGTCACAGCGCAATGGCCCAGCCCATATTGTATGGGATGAGCTGTTTGACACATTTAACAAGAATAGAAACCCCCATTTTGTTCATTATTCTCTCCTACTAAGTGGACTGAGACTTATAAACAAATCTGAGTTCACCCTAGCCCTATCCTCCTTAAAGATCCATGTGTGCCTGACCTAGACCCTGTGTCCTCTCCTAAGACCTCCACCCAGAGAGTGGCTTGCTGGAGGGGAGCATCAGAGCAGGGTGCACTGCCAAGGACCCCTAACACTGACATCACAAACCACACCTTTTGTAGTCCAGATTACCTTTAAAAAACAGCTCTAGGTTTTAAAGGAGCACAAGGTAAGACTTAAAGAATTGAATTTGTTTCCATTTTAGGATACTACTACATCTTCCAAGGAACCACGCAACTGGAATATGACCCGCGGTGGCACCGTGTCACAAGGAGGATGAAGAGTACCAGCTGGTTTGGGTGCTAGGAAGGACGCAGTGAAGGATGCTTGTCCGTGCAATAAGTACTTATTCACCATGTACTACATTGCAGCAATGTAACATGAAGCAGACCACAGATAACTGTTTACACAGAAAAATGCCTTTACAAAAGTTATCCTCTTTTGATAAATTTTTCAGTTGATCCTCTTCTTAATTTTGAAAGCAAATATCTTCAAAGACCTCCAGGTTTGCCCATTGGTTGTTTTTTTAACAACCATCAAGTTGGAAAATTAGAATTACTTCTCTGTCTTCACTGAAATTTAACATGGATTATTTTTGTAAATAAATTTTTAAAAATTATTTGGCTTTTGATTTTTTTCTTTAAAAATATTGTGTATATTTGACTTCATATATGTGTATGTACCACATGTATGCAGTGTTGGTAGAGGCCAGAAGAGGGCACCAGATCCCTAGAAACTGGGGTTACAGATAGTTATGGGCAGTCTTGTGGGTGCTGGGATTGAAACTATATCCTTGGGAAAATTTGTCTGTGCTCTTAACCTCTGTGTCATCTCTCTGGTCCTTGTTTTTAATATCTTTCTTGAAAAACAGAACGAATTTTGAAAATAACTCTGGCTTCTGCTGTGAAATAATACTTTTGTACCCTGAAAAGATTTGTCACTTGCATTAGTTTAATAAAATGGTGATTGGCCAGGTAGGAAATATAGGCAGGGCGAGTAGACTAAAAGAATTCTGGGAAGAGGAAAGGCAGAGACACAGTCACCAGCCAGTCACAGAGGAAGCAAGATGAAAAATACCTCACTGATAAAAGGTACCAAGCCATGTGGCTAAACATAGACAAGAATTATGGGTGAATTTAAGTTGTAGGAGTTAGCTAATAATAAGCCTAAGTTAATAGACCAAACAGTTTATAATTAATATAAGCATCTGTGTGTTCCTTTGGGACTGAATGGCTGTGGGACTGTGCGGGACAGAAATGTCTATCTATAAATGGTGCCCAAATGTTTGGTAAGAATTTCCACATAAAGTCTGAGAAATCTTAAAAGAAAGGATTCTAGATAGATAGGAACAAAGTCAAGCACAACTTTTTGGTAACCATTTTTTTTTCCCAGTAGGCTCTGTTTGCTGTCAGTGACTCAGCGTTAGGAGCAAAAACTGCATGGTGGCTCCTTTAAGAGGCACTGTCACCAAACACTTAACTATTGCTTATGAGCAGCCAGTGACATGTTTCTTGGTGGTGGCATAGACCTAGAAATTCCACAGAGTTGTGGCAATAAACGTGGCTCCCACCAATGCTTCTACCATGAAGCTAGACTCTCAGGAAGCCGAGGAATGGACTGAGTCAGTCACCAAAGCCATAGCTTTATTTCTAGCCATACTGCTTAGCAGATTAAAGACTCATGTGCTAAGAAAAGATAGAGATGTACAGTAAAGATGGATTCAGATGAAAAAGCCTCTAAATGGTTTACAGTGTGTTTAAAAATATATGTAGACTTGGGAGAGAAAACAAAAAGGACAGAGAAAATCTTTAAAAACAAATAAAAAGAAAGAAATAGAGCAGCTGGGGGTGGCACACACCTTTAATTCCAGCACTTTGGAGGCAGAGGCAGGCGGATCTCTGTGAGCTTGAGGACAGTCTGATCTACAGAGTGAGTTCCAGAGATACACAGAGAAATCAGTGTCAAAAATTAAAAAATAAAAATAAAAAGAGTAAAAAGCCAGCCACATAAAGATAGAAAATGCACAGAAAATCTGGATCCTCTATGTCATTGTGTTGATTTGAATAGTTTGACTTCTGAGAAAGAAACAACGGCTGACAAAATACATTTGATTATAAATGCTGCTGGATTAATCCAAATTACATATTTTGAAAATACCTTGACTTCAAAATTTAAGTCAAAAGATATGTTACCTCAGAGAAGAGGTTTTGCTTTTATCTCAACAGGAAATGAGAGGCTGTGGATTTAATCTGGGTTAAGAAAAATAAGGATTGATTGAGGAAGACCCCCACCCCTGAAAAATCTCCAATAGGAATGGATGGCCCAGATTATCCAATGTTTCAGAGCCACCTCTATTGCAGTTTCCCCTAAGTTCTACATCCAGAACAACCTTTAGACTGTTGACTGAGATGATTCAAACTCATACAATACAACAGTCAGGAAAAATTTTCTTTGGGTCCCCATAAGATGATCAGTGCCCCCAATCATCAGGAAGTAGCCTACAAAACTATGCCCACATTCCCAAAAAATTGGATTATGGATGTTTGTCTTTGTTTAGAGTATTGGTAATAAGTTGTTATGGAAAATGGTCAGGGAAAAGTTAAACAAAGGAGAATAGATTCAGGGTCTTTTTTGAAAAGAAAAAAGGGGAGCTGCATTGGTTTAATAAAATGCTGATTGGCCAGTAGCCAGGCTGGAAGTATTGGCAGGGCGAGTAGACTAAAAGAATTCTGGGAAGAGGAAAGGCAGAGACATAGTCACCAGCCAGTCACAGAGGAAGCAAGATGAGAATGCTCACTGATAAAAGGTGCCAAGCCACATGGTTAAACATAGACAAGAATTATTGGTGAATTTGAGTTGTAAGAGCCGATTAATAATAATACTAAGATAACAGGACAAACAGTTTATAATTAATATAAGCATCTGTGTGTTTCTTTGGGGGACTGAGTGGAACAGAAACCTCTGCTTACAGGCTTCCAAATAAAGTCTTTTTGTGACTGTACCAAGAGTTAATAGAGACGTGACATCTACAAAAGTTGGAGCTTAAAGTCCTTTTGATCAATTGTGCAAGGACACCCATTTAATCCTAAGATAAGACAACATCCTCTAGCCTGCACATAAGCCCAAGAATAACTGTAGCATTTAACCAGAGGACTAAGAGGAGAAAGGATGAAATGGATTTCCCTTCTTGTTAGATGTGTTGTGTGACTCCTTGCACATCGGTGAATAGGCTGTACCACTGCTGAGCGACCTTACAGGATATTAAATCTAAGCCTTCTTAACATCAGGAGGAAATGTGTGTGACTAGCACACACCTCTAAGTTTGCTGTGGGGAAGAGCCCCTCACGCCTGTGTCCTGGCCTTCTAACAGTTTCCCATATTGCCTTGATATTTAGGTTCCCCATCTGATGCACTGTGTATGCTGTAGAGTTTTCCCTTAAAGCTTATGGGTTTGTGAAATATGTTCAGTCTTAGAACTGACTGGTGTCACCACCCAGGTCCAGAAAGTTCTCCACAGCAATGCTTATCTGATCATATTTGAAGAGTGAAGTTGAAGAGATGTGGGGAAGCCGCTCCTTAGCCTTCGTGTCTCAGACAATGTGAGTGACGATCTTCATCATCAACTTGATAGGGTCTGGGATCACATAAGAGACACATGAGGACTGTCCAGAGCAGAGGGGATGGCAGGTTGGTGCATTAGAACACACCCACAATGGGCAGGGCAGCCCTTTGCCCTTATGACGATAGATACGTAAACTCTGGTTGCGAGTTTGCTTTTCATGTTCATAATGCCTCTGTCCAAACTATTACCCAGGGGATTACACAGAATTCCTTAGCCATCATGGTACTCTGCACAGTATTGTTCCGGAACAGGGGACTCATTTCACAGTCGAAGTAGAGTAGCCACAGGCTTATGTTCACGTTCATGGAATTCGCTGGTCTGACCACGCTCCACACAGTCCTGACACAGTTGGCTTGAAGAATACGTTTTCTGTTCAGTGTTAGAGGGCCCTGTGTGTGTAACAAACACTCTCCCTTTAAGCTGTATCCTAGCTGTTAGGATTCTGAAAAAGCCGATGTTGCCAGTTTGGTGCTAGTGTTTCTTTAAACACGAAACGGCTAAGGGCGTCAGCTGCTGCTTTTGTGAAAAGGATATTTCCATTGTCCTTATTCTACTGCCCTAGGAAATATGGCTCTTAAATTACTAATTTTAGTCTTGATAGCAAAAAGATATTTAAAATCCTAAATTGGTGCTACTATTTGCCCATTAACATTGTCAAAATAGTTATTTCAAAAAACATATTATTTATATTACAATGTGACTTAACAGGCTCAAGAGCTAAAATATTTTCTTACCTCCCTCTAGGACAAATGTTTCCTGAGGTGACCTAGCAAACGAAAACTCTTTAAGTCTTCATGACTTTAAAGGACAGAACTGGCCATGGACCAATTGTGAGAACTTCCTATTAATAGGTGGGTTTTGATTTTATTAATTTAAAAATTCTAACATGATCTTTATTTAAAGGCTTCTCTGCCACTCTCTAAGACCATCTTTGCTGGTAAGCATGGCTTTCCTTATGTTTTGTTTGTTTGATTGGTTTGGTTTGGTCTGGTCTGGTTTTGATTTTTCGAGGCAGAGTTTCCTTTTTTCTTTCTTTTATTAAGAATTTTTAAATATACAATCTTTTCTCATTTTATATAGCTATCCTGCTCCCACTTCCTCCCCTCCTCCTGCTGCCTCCACCTTCTTCCCCACCTCACCATCCACCCCTCAGAGAGGGTAAGGCTTCCCATGGAAAGTCAACAAAGTCTGACACTTCACTTTGAGGCAGGCCCAAGGCCTTCCCCCACGTATCTAGACTGAGCAAGGTATCCCTTCAAAAAGACTGTGCTCCTACACGCCAGTTCAAACCCTAGGGATAAAGCCTGGTCCCACTGCCAGTGGCCCCACAGACCATCCAAGCCTCATAACGGTCCCTCACACTCAGTGGGCCTAATTTTGTCCTGTGCAGGCTCCCCCACTATCAGTCCAGAGTCTGAGCTCTCACTAGCTCAGGCCAGCTGTTTCTGTGGGTGTCACCATCATGGCCTTGACCCCTTGGCTCATATTATCACTCCCCCCTACCTTGGGCTGGATTCAGGTAGCTCGCCCCAGGGTTTGCTGTAGATATGTTTCTGCTTCCATCAGTTGCTAGGTGAAGGTTCTACGATGACAATTAATTAATTAATCAGTCTGATTACTGGAGTCGAGACAGGGCTTCTCTGTGTAGCTTTGGAGGCTGTCCTAGAACTAGCTCTGTAGACCAGGTTGGCCTCGAACTCACAGAGATCCTCCTGCCTCTGTCTCCAGAGTGCTGGGATTAAAGGCGTGCGCCACCACTGCCTGGCTTATCCTTATGGTTTTGAAGACATTGTGTATGTCTTCAAGCTCTACTTTTTACTTTTACAAAGTCTAAAATGTTTTAAAATGAGCTCTCTTTTATTTTATTTTAGAAAAAATAGACATTTAAAATTTTTATTTCCTGTTTTTGTGAATTGTCTTCTATTCTGAAAAAGTTCAGTAATTATCTCCTTTGTAATGCATTTTT